TATATTCAATATACCATACCCCACCCCCACCATACCACAGGGGGGGCGGGAAACAATACCACACCCCCACCACACCACGGGGGGGGAAAAAGACACTACTACACCCCCCACCACATTATAGGGGGGAAAGGGGCACTACCACATCCCCACCACACCACAGCGGGGGGAACAATATATGGAATACATCCCATGGGGGGGGAGGAAAGGGGGTGTGGCAGGACCTGGTGCATATCGAAAATTATTTTTCCCAACTTCCCTCCAGCTCAAGGGCACGCGTCTCCCTCAAGAAAATTGGTATTGCCTCAGATTAACCGTAATTATATGGTTAGGGTTATATATATATATAGATTGCCAATTTTTTATTTTATTTTTCATGGTGCCAAAATAAATCAATCAGTTAATTTATGGTAATTGCAAAGGCTGCATCCGAAAATCCATCGGTCCCATATAGTACAAATTCATAATTTCCTCGTTGCTGGCTCAACGCCTCGTAGCTGGCTCAACGCCTCGTAGCTGGCTCAATTTTTTAGACCAAAAAAAAAACATAATAAAAAATATAAAAAAAATTAAGCTAGCTACATACCCTTAAACCAGCTCGGTGTACCATCACCATCCTAGCCAATACAAACTATATATTCGTTTTCTAGTTTTCATATTCATTTACCAGCTCAACGTAATATAACTAGCTCATTTTTTTTCATTTTTTTTCCGTGTTTTTTTTCGTTCCAAAAAATTAAATTAATTCGATATTATTGAGCTAAAAATTTGCCGATGTATTTGTAATAACCCAGTAAATCACCATAAAATATGCATATAAAAATGCCTTTTCTAAAGCAAGGAAAAAATTCAAAATATCCCTAAAATTTACCAATTTTTATAATTAATCAAGATTTTAAGCAAAAATCTTTTATTGTATTAAAATCTAGAAAAATACCATTGCATATGCTGGAAAAATGTAGAATACTTGTGCCTGTACAGGTATAGGTAGCTTGTATGCCACCCATTTTCCAATCTACTATCCCTCCTCAAGTAATTGCATTTTTTTTGCATATTTCATAATAATTTATTGTATCAATAAAAAGCAAGGCAGCCATTCTATAGATACAGTTATTTGGTAAGGTTGCTTAAATGTTTCCTGTATTTGGTTTTGTGTCCTTCTAGTTACCATAATAAGCTTATACTAACATAGTTTAAGTTTTACCCAGAGCCACTTAAGAGGGGAAACACGAAAGGTAGGTAAGCAAAAAAGGAACCGAAGAAAAAATAAAGGGGAAAGGGCAGGGAAAAAAACATAAAGTGGAGTCTGGTAAAAGCGATGCGGCCAGTTTCTTTCCAAAAATATGAAGGGGAGTCTCGTAAAAGCGACTGAAAGGCTTCGGCGATGTGGTTGGGGTTGGTGGCGGTTGTGGTGTTGGTAGTGTTGGTGGTGCTGGTGGTGTTGGTGTTGTTGGTGTTGTTGGTATTGGTGTTGTTGGTGTTGTTGGTATTGGTGTTGTTGGTGTTGTTGGTGGTGGTAGTGTTTTTGGTGTTGTTAGTGTTGTTTGTGTTGTTGGTGTGGTTGGGTTTGTTGGTGGTGTTGGTATTGTTTGTGTTCGTGTTGTTGTTGTTGTTGTTGCTGATGTTGTTGTTGTTGTTGTTGTTGTTTTTGTTGTTGTTGTTGTTGATGTTGTTGTTATTGTTGTTGTGTGTTGTGGTGTGTTGTTGTTGTTGTTGTTGTTGTTGTTGTTGTTGTTGTTGTTGTTGTTGTTGTTGTTGTTGTTGTTGTTGTTGTTGTTGTTGTTGTGTGTTGTTGTGTGTTGTTGTGTGTTGTTGTGTGTTGTTGCGTGTTGTTGGGTGTTGTTGTGTGTTGTTGTGTGTTGTTGTGTGTTGTTGTGTGTTGTTGTGTGTTGTTGTGTGTTGTTGTGTGTTGTTGTGTGTTGTTGTGTTTTGTTGTGTGTTGTTGTGTGTTTTTGTGTGTTGTTGTGTGTTGTTGTGTGTTGTTGTGTGTTGTTGTGTGTTGTTGTGTGTTGTTGTGTGTTGTTGTGTGTGTTGTGGTGTGTTGTGGTGTGTTGTTGTGTGTTGTTTGTGTTGTTGTGTGTGTTGTTGTGTGTTGTTGTGTGTTGTGGTGTGTTGTTGTGTGTTGTTGTGTGTTGTTGTTGTATGTTGTGTTGTTGTGTGTTGCGTGTGTTGTTGTGTCTTGTTGTGTCTTGTTGTGTGTTGTTGTGTGTTGTGTGTGTTGTGTGTTGTGTGTGTTGTGTGTGCGTGTGTGTTGTGTGTGTGTGTTGTGTGTGTTGTGAGTGTTGTGTATGTTGCGTGTGTTGCGTGTGTTGCGTGTGTTGTGAGTGTGTGTGTTGTGTGTGTGTTGTATGTGTGTTGTATGTGTGTTGTGTGTTGTTGTGTGTTGTTGTGTGTTGTGGTGTGTTGTGGTGTGTTGTGGTGTGTTGTTGTGGTTGTGGTTGTGGTTGTGGTTGTTGTTGTTGTTGTTATTGTTGTCATTGTCGTTGTTGTAGTAGTTGTTGTGGTTGTTGTGGTTGTTGTGGTTGTTGTGTGTGCGTGTGTGTTGTGTGTGTGTTGTGTGTGTTGTGTGTGTTGCGTGTGTTGCGTGTGTTGTGTGTGTTGTGTGTGTTGTATGTGTGTTGTGTGTGTGTGCTGTGTGTGTTGTGTGTGTTGTGTGTGTGTTGTGTGTTTTGTGTGTTGTGTGTGTTGTGTGTGTGTTGTGTGTGTTTTGTGTGTTTTGTGTGTTGTGTGTTGTGGCGTTGTGCGTTGTGCGTTGTGCGTTGTGTGTTGTGCGTTGTTGTTGTTGTTGTTGTTGTTGTTGTTGTTGTTGTTGTTGTTGTGTGTTGGTGTTGTTGTTGTTGTTGTCGTCGTTGTTGTTGTTGCTGTTGCTGTTGTGTTGTTGTTGTTGGTGTTACCCCTGCAGCGTTTTTGCTCGGTTCCGTAGTGGCCGAAAATCGTCAAATCGGTGGTGTTTTCGCGTGTTTTTGCATCGCTCGGAGCAAAAAACACCGTAAATACCAATGTTTTTGGCGGGTCGGAAGCCCAAAACCACGGTATTTACGATGTTTTTTGCCTCTGGTAGTAAAAAGCACGGTATTTACAGTGTTTTTTGGCCAGCACCTAGCAAAAACACTGGTATTTACGGAGGTTTCACCATGTAGCAAAATGTGGTTTCTTGATCCGAAAAGAACAAAAATACTGTAAATTACAGTATTTTGAGTCTGCTCTTAGGGTGCGTGGGAGGTGTGGAGGAGGGGGGGGGGTACTAAAATGACTAGCAATCTCCTGAAGAATCAGGTAACGGGGCTGGCCGCCCTCCCCTTTACTTCGTAAAGTAAAACTCAAGGTAGCCCCTCTGGAGCTACCTTTCGTGATAAATAGATATGGTAATAACATATCTGCCGTTATATTTGTAGTGACACAACAAATTACCATAAAATATACAGGAAAAAACACCTTTTCTAAAGCAAAGAGGAAGTAAAAATACCCCTGGAATTTACCAATTCTTATAATCAATTAATTAATATTTTAAGCAAAGATCTTTTATTGCATTGAAATCTAGAAGAATACTATTACATATACAGGAGAAATATAGAACACTTATGCCTGTATGGGCATAGGTGGCTTATATACCACCCATTTTCCAATCTACTATTCCTCCTCACGTAGTTGTATTTTTTTAAAATATATTTCATGGTAATTTATTGCATCAATGAAAAGCAAGGCAACCATTCTATAGATACAGTGCAAATTAGACGAAATTGCTATTTTTCCATTCAATGAATTAGCTGCTCTCAGAATTTTGCCTAGTCCAATCACCATTTTTCCCCGTTGAATCAGCATTTCCATTGGAAAACTTCGTGAAATATCAGTCCCCACGGCAGCGTCGCATCGGCCCCCACCAAGTCGTCACATTGGAAAAACGTCAGATGCCTCGGGTGATCCCAAGAGATGGGCGAAGAGATCAGCGGAATGATCAATTTAACCCTATAAAAAATGGAATATATTTCGGGGGCATAATCAAATTTATAGTATCAAAGTATGATTTGGGTTTGTCTGAAATTGGGGTGCGCTCCATAAAATCACGATCTAGATTGGCAAAACATATGGAAAACCGATGATATTTATTGGGGGTAACCCATGCACAAGCAGACCCATTCATGATTAATGAAGATGCTAGTATTTTTGCCCAAAAAACAAGACTATTTTTACCTCCAAGCAATTTGGTGTTTTTTAGAATTGTGAGGGTCAATGCATGGTTGTCCGAATTTAGGATGGTGAGTCAATGTGTCAAACAACTTTTTGGGTTGATTATATGGACAATAGCACCAATGTCCAGATATACCCTCAATATCCCGATTCTGAAGGATGATACATAGTTTTACCTCGCCAAAACCATGTACCAACTTCAGGAATCATCACGGAAGGAGATAGCTCTAGAGCTTCTTGTTTTCCTCTGTTGACCAAAAAGAAATGTGTGTTCATAAAGGAGTTGTCTGTGGCCAAGATGTTGCATGAACCACTTGTACTGCTGTGGTGGCATTTACCCAAATCAGGCAGCTGCATGTAAACAAACAATATGATACCAAACTTTCCATTCATCCGTATACAATCAGCCACATGATTCGACAAGCTGGTTGGTTCCAGAAGCACATTGTCCTTGAAGGTGATTCTGAAAAGTGGTGACTTTGAAACCTAACTGGTTGGTGGTATACCTACCCCTCTGAAAAATCATGGAGTTCGTCAGTCGGGATCATTATTCTCAATATATGGAAAAAATGCTCCAAACCACCAACCAGGTGTTTTTCTCATCTGATCAGATTTGATCGTAACGGTCCCGACGAATGGTCCAGCTTGGAGACGCGTCAGATCTTCGCCCAGATCTTCGCCCGCTGGTTGCGAATCCATCCTGAAACCTCGGTACAAAGGGCCGAAAGGCGAAAAGCGAGGCCCACATCTACCCGTTCACCATGCAACCTATGCATCCCGACTGCCGCTGTGTTTTGTTTGTCAAAACAACCAATTTCAATAACTGTATATGCTATTTTTTCAAGAATCAAACAATGATGAAATATGTAAAACAAAAGTCATACCTATGATTATCTCCATTGTCCTGTTTACCAGTTAGATTCTTCATGATTCTTCTACCTGTATGGGTACGAGTTAACATCTCGTTCAAAGAAGGGAAAACACATGGTGATATGCGTAGACCATCAACTTTCTTTGTGCATCCTCGCGCACATGCATGCTTCAGTATTGGTCCACTTAACATCCAGTCCCCTCAAACATGTTAGGAAAAATTATGCTGGTGATGTCCGTCCGTTCAGTGTATCGGATAGAAATGGACTGGACAACAATGTTCCAGTGGAAGGATGATTTGGATGGCCAACTACTACGGGTCCTATATCATCTATCCTATATAATGATATACTATCATGATATAAATTGTCCTTTTCTGATGTTCATTTAGGCAACACATATATACTTGGTACGGATAATTGGGTCTACAACCGCGCTCATATGCTCAATATATCTCAATATGCTAAGCGGATTTAAGCGATACCGTGTCTTGCGACCAGAAAAGCAACATCATCAAGTCAAAGTCCAACACGACATACATTGGCCCAGACTGGGATCAATCAAACCTACGCCACAAACTGTCATCAGCCCCCAAACTCTCAGTTCTCTTTTCCGTTTGCGGCAGTGGGTGCGTCAGTCGACTCGGCCCAGTGCCGCTTAACCCGTGAACGCGGTGCTCGCGGGTGGGGTTCGGAAACCCTTCGACAAAAAAATCAGGGATCGAACTTCTGAAGTGTCCCAGCTACACAATTTTACACAGCTACGCAGGCTACGCACCTTGAAAATGATGGATCAATGCCAGCACAAAGGCGGCAGTTGCAGCAACGCCTGCCACTGCAAACTGTGAACGTCCCTCACGGCTGTCTGCATCAACCTGCAGGTGGCTGAAGATCGGTCTGGAACACTGTTCCGCTGCTTGGTATAGAGAGTTCCATCATGTTGCACCATGTTGTGCCTGTGAAAAGGTGGATGTGCTTCAGGTTTGATAAACTTATTTTTTGCTGGCGTACCTGGTGAATAGATTCCGCATCAAGCCGTATCTGCAGGTAGGCGTGTCTAAATCAAGAACTTGGAGCAACTCTCATAGCAGTACACATTTAGAGCAGTAGTTATTAGCCATTGGGTCATTCATAACCCACTCAACTCCCAGGTCACCTCAATTTGTAGGTGGCCAATACATGCTTAAACCAACTATATAAGTTTCTGATAGCAACTGGTATATATATGAAAAAAACATAGCAGGTTTCTCCAACTGCTTGGAGTCAGTCACTCAGTGGCCTACAACCAAGGAGCTACACTGCTACACCAAGCGGTCCCGGAAACTTTTAAACATGAGACTAGCGGCTCGCGTTTGGAGGGGGGAAGTAAACTTCTACTGTCACTATCCCAAAATGCAAGTCAATAATTTGGAGCCATACCACTGCACTCAGGTTTGTCTGAAAATAGGATATCACAAATTGGATTATATAATTATAGCAATTTTCCCATATACGTTGCTATTTGTGGTATGCCCATTGCATTCCCTGTTTTTCAGACACACCCAAATAACTATGCTTGGTTTTATCTCCCATTAAATCCCCATTAAATGCCTCTTGTTGATGGTGATTTTTCACAATAAAATCCCTTCACATCCCATACAGCCTATTGACACTTGATGATGTAAAATCCCATTCACATCCCATTCACCAACATCAAATCACCATGACATCAATTCCTCATCCCTCGAAAAATCATCCCATTATATCCTCAAAATCCCTCGAAAATTGATGCTTGAACCGGCTTAAACCATTCCTGGAATCGGGTTGATATCGGGTTGATACAGTACACAAGCTCCGCTTGTAAAAGCTGCCCGATCTCGCCTCCCGCGGCGCTACTTCGCGAATCTCATGGATCTGGCCACTTCCTCGGCGAGCGACTTCAACGGAACCTTTTTGGAGGGTTGCACAACCAAAAAACGACGATTGGACCATACACAAATTGGTGTTCTTGAAATCGTTTTGGAGCTCCGGTTTTCCTTTGAACAATCCAATGACTTGTTTCATCATAGCTGATTGTTCTGGATGTCCATCCCTGCAAAAGCGCGGAAGATGCTTGGTTGTGACCCATCCCATGGCCCTGTCCCGCTTGGACATCAATCAGGTGATGCTTGAAGGCATGGTTCAAGTCTTGGTACCTGGATTACCATTGAAGCCACTGGCTGATAGCACATGGCCAATCTCATGTAGACATATATACCCTCTGGTAAACGTTTACAAAACTATTGAACATCTCATTTTGACATGGGTAAATCAACTATAAATGGTCATTTTCAATTGCTATGTTAGTTTACCAGAGATGTGTATATATATAATATATATATAATGAGATAATGTGTTCACATATTATATAATGATGTAATGTGTTCACATATCACATCACAATTTACATCAATAGATTCTCAAATATTAAACCACCCTTCACCACTGGCTTTACCCCCATGTTCGATGGTTATCTCCATGTTTGGTTGCTCAACCCCCGAATTCTTGTTGGTCAAACAATGTCAAACTTACTTTCAGCAGTTGTTGTTTGTCACTTCTCTTCCCCATCATTTTATCATTTTCCCCACACCTCTCATAAATCAAATGGGTAGAGGTCAACATTGGATACCTCAATCATTAGCTTCTGAATACAAAACACCCCAAATCTGTGGTCACTTTTTGCTTCAATTTTGACTCCGAAAAATCCACCATCTTCGAGCGCCAGGGTTCCATGTGGCGTCCCCCTGAGGCTGCTTGGTGATGGCCCCACAGAGGTCGACGACGTCGACGACCTGCGGGCTTTGGCCAACATCTCCTCGACCAACTTCTCGCGCTCCTTGGATGGTCATTAAGGGCCTATTCTAATGACCTCCCATCCAGATTCCCCTTAGGATTCTCAGCATATGGCTTCGCCTGAGGATTTAATATGGCATGCCCTGAGTTCCCCACGTTAAATTTCTGGTGGTCAAGGTAAATGACGAAAGGCTAAGATGGGGTTCATTCCTTATGGTTGATTTTCGGTGTGAGATGAAGTAAGGAGAGATTCCTACCAGTAACCAAGACTAGGGGGTTGGACCAGTGACAGGGAGCATTTCTACGACAAAATAATAGAGTTGACCGATATTCGGGATATACCGAATGCACTGGTTCATCATCATGTTCCCGATTAACATTCCCATTTGGGTCTTTGGGTCCATTTGGCATACGTACCCAAATTATCCCAATTCTCTGCTCAGATTTATACCCCACATCATATTACATTACAATTTATATGACGTAAAAATACCCCTTGATCTCCCATACTCATACTACTACTACTACTACTACTACTACTACTACTACTACTACTACTACTACTACCACTACCATTTCCTTGGAATTTGCATCGCCAATCTTCAGCCACGCACACCATGACGTCCCTTCACCAAGTGTCCATGCGCGCCTTGAAGTCTGGATCCGCTCCAAAGGCCTTTTTCCAAAACGGCAGCCGGCGAGTCTGTGGTACGGACCAACAAAAATGGATATCAAATGGACCGTAGAATGCTTCTTTCTGAGTTATATATAATTTTATATAATTTTATATAATGATAGTTTGAGAAAACATTCAGAACCACCTAACCTCCTTATCTGATGGAATCTGAAGTCTTTGAGTCGTTCTTTTTAGTGGTGCCTCAGTTTGGAATCGCTAAGTTGGCCATCACAGCTCCAGTAACTCGCGGGTATCAAACTAGTTGCTGGGGCTTATAAACCAACAGTAACTGATGGGAGGGCACCATGTTTTGTCGCCAAAGTCCAAAAACTCCTAGACATTGGAAGACTTCTACAAAACTCCATAGCCCAAGGCCGTTTTCCGGAGTTTCGTGGTACCTTTGAAGGGCTAGACGCTTTTTGCGGAGGAATCCCTTGAAGCTAAAGATTTTTTCCAGGGGGGTCTGGTAGCGCCGTAGCAAATTGACCATCAGGGACCATCCCCGTGGCCTACCGAGTCCCAAGAGGCTGGGGATAGCCTTCAACTGCCATTGGTGGCTCAGTTCCTCTCATTATGGTCCCTAGTGAAACGTGGAACATACCACAGCCCAACAGCCAACATGTGAATTATGATATCTGAGTTGATCACGCTAAATCAAGCTTTACAGTAAAATTATACAGTAAATTTACCATATTTACCCTTCACCTTCACCCTATGAAAACTCCATAACTTTCCTACTTTTAGTAATTTTTCATCATTTTCTGGTTGGTGGTTGAGCCCTACCCCGCTGAAAAATCATGGAGTTCGTCAGTTGGGATTGTGAAATTCCCAATATGATGGGAAAGTCATAAAATTCCATGGTTCCAGTCACCACCAACCAGTTTTTAAGTGGATGATACACATTGCATAGCCTATCCTAGACATTTTTTGGAATCCACTATGGATGATCCACATAATGGGTATATAATACCATCCCATACCCAGCTTCCTGAGATTCTAGGCATCCATCACCAACTCACCAACCCTCCGCAATCCGCCTCTTTGACGAAGCCCACAACACCCAGGCCGTTGTTCACCACACCATCCGCGAAGGACTTGGGGGTGAAGAAGGCAGCCTTTTCCTCGACATTTGGAATGTCCAAAATGGCTGGTTGCCTACCAAGTTTGATGGATTAATGGCCTATAATAATACATATGTAATTATAATATTAAATTATATATATTTTAATATATGTATATAATTATAATCATATATGTAATCATGTGTATATATATATATATATTGTTATAGGCCATTAATTGTGTATTTATATATATGTGTATATATATACACATAATATATATATATATAAATAATATATATATAATTATATATATATAGGTAAAATATGGTACATATGTGTATTTCAACAAGCAGAATGCAGGTGACTGTTTTTCACCGGCTCTCCCACAATGCGAACAACAGCAGCACACGAGATTTCAACTCAAAAAGATCGGAATGGATTCACAACCAAGCAGGATGCAACAGTTGTGAATCCGTTCCAGCAACAATTGGGTGTTCATCCGCCAAATTGGTAGTGAATGCAGTGAGAAGCGACAAGAATGAGGATTCCGGGATGAGGCGAAACTGGTGTATGGTGACTGTGGGGATGGGGGAAGCATCCACACAGATGAGAACTGCGCCACCCATGACTTACAATTCCACCTGTAACTTAAGTGGTATCTTTAAGAAATAAACATCAGGATTTGTCGATGGAACTCAGCTGAAATGGTGGGCTTTAGCAACTTGAGACGATCCAGGTCGCTGGGACATGGATCTTGAATCGAGATTCTCGAGATCCGAGAAAAGCGATTCAAATCCATTCATCATCGATTGCCTATTGACCTATTCGTTGGGGCGTCTTATGGATATCGTTTTGGTTTTCACCCCTAAACATCCTTTCACATCCAGGATGACTAGATGTCTAAAATTGGTTTACCATCTGGTTATTTAACATAGCCATGGAAAGATCCACCATTTCTAATAGCTAAACCATCTAATTATTTCGATTAGGGCCATCGAAATCCCATGGCTAGCCCTGTTAGTCATAACCAGGTTGGGTAACACAGAGAATCCACCCAGTTTCACCCCAGTATTCCCAGGCTCGGGGAAGCGTTGAATCCGAGGCTCCTGGGTCTTGTGGTCGTCTGACACCGGCCTCACCTTCACTTCGAAGCGTTCCCCGGCGGCCTGCGGAGGGATCTTGGTCTGGCAGGCACCTCGGCGACAGGCGTTGACGGGGGAAAAGGTGTAGCTATGGATACCTATGGCAATCAAGGAGTCAAGGAAGTGGAAAACCATGGAAAAACCATGGAAAAACCATGGAACAACCATTCTGAAACCTCTCCAAAGAACGCAACTTACACAGTCTTACACTCTACACAGTCGTCCGAAGTTCTGTGACTCTTTAACCCAAGAATGAATGATTGGCAAAGCTGTGGGTGATTGCCCATAGATGTGAACGAGCTTCACTCTCAAACGCTGTAAGGCTGTAATCATCATAAACAACTTTTCACAGATTGGTCACAGCGTTACTGCAGATAAACCATTGACATCAATGACAGCATCATCGTATGCTAGGTACATGAAAAGGATCCCATCGTCTGATTCCAAAGTAAATAAATTCATTCCTTCCCCACAAGAAGAAATCGACCCCTAGAAGCCCAGTCTTACTACGTCCTTAGTACGTCTTAGTATTTGACATGTGGAAGGGACTGATGGTTATAAAACACTCCCGAGATCATCCATTTTTGGTCCGGCACTCCTGGGAAATGCCGATGGCTTCTGTACATCACCCACCAAGGATGCTTCTGAAGATGAACAGAGAATTTGGGCTCTTAAATCTGATGAACACTCCTGAGCACTGATCAGCACCTTTTCACTCAGTCAGCTCGAAGGTAGCTGAAAGCACTAAAATGGCTGCAGCACATATACAAACATATATGCTACATGTGACATAGTCTACACTGTACACATATCTGATCACGCCTCCCGAGCCTGTTTAAAAAACGGCGCTCCCGTCCAATTATTTGAACTAGGCGAGTTTTGATATGTACAGCTACTCATAGCCACGCTCAAGCCATCTATGCTCTCAGTGTCAGGTGATGCTCACCTTCCAGAAAGTGAAAATTCATATTTCGCAAGGCTTTATTCATTTTCTCTTCTATGACAGGTTTCGTCAAGACGTCGGCAAGCATATCGCCAGTGTCGGCCTTCTTCAGCCGAAAATAGCGCTTGGCAACGCGGTCTTGTACCCAATGGTATTGAGTATCCACGTGCTTGGCCTTGCCTAGTCCTCTGCGAGAACCCATTGCTATTCCTGCACTTGCGTCCATGAAGACTTCACTCTCGGGTTGCAAACCCCAGTCTTTGGCGGTTGAAACTTCTCCCAGCAAATTGCTGGCACCGCTCACAAGAGCGTAATACTCACTCTCTCCAGACGAAAGACTAACAACTTCTTGTCCTTTAGAATAAGTCTTGATACAACAACCTCCGGCCATCAGGACGCCTCCTGACACGCTCTTCCTCGTCTTCACGCAACCAGCGAGGTCAGCATCAGACCACATCACAAATGGACTGAGTTTGCTCTGATGAGGAAAGAATTGTGCCATGCGTGGTCGATACCTTAGGTATCGTGCAACTCGTTTGAGCATAAGCATGTGGCTGGTAGTTGGTCGTTGTAGCCCTTGTGCTAAAGATCTTGTCGCTACTTGCAGATCTGGTCGATCTTGTGCCAAATAGGCTGCTCGCATTGCAACTGATCTGTACTGGGTTGCTTCTTCATCATTGAGAAAAACAGTGGCGTTCTTGAGGTCTTCCACTGAACCCTTGGCAAGTGGTGTCTTGACTTTGGCTCCTCGGGGACCATCTCCGAGTAAATCAATCACCAACTCTGCATGACGTGCATCTGGTTCTCACCAAATTCCATTCCCCTTCCATGTGATAATTCTGTTCAGGACTCTGATGTCCTGGATGGTGTTTGGTGTTCCTGGTGGTCCTAAAATACCACGTTCCACACATTTCCACTTCTTCGACAGCTCTTCATGAAGCCATTTGATGTTGTCAAATGTTCCGGCTGTTGTAAAATCATCTCCATGTACAACAGTTCTGAGGTCTCGGCCTGCATGGTAGTAAATGCATGGATTGCTTTTTCCCTGCTTGAAACCTAAGGCTAACATAACTTTCTGTATTTGCAACTCCCAGTTGAGAGGTGCGTCTCTGGTTCCATACAAAGACTTGAGCAATCTTCCTACCACATCTTCTCCAGGCTTCTTTGCTTCTGCAGGAAGTTCCACATAGATCTCACGCGTCGCATCTGAGTAAAAGTGGGCGCGTTTCACATCCAAAAATCCTAGAAGTCTACGCTTGCGATAGGCTTCCTTGACAGCTTTTCCAGCGTCTGGCAACTGAAACGTGACGGCTATTGTAACTAGCATCTTCAAAGCAAGCCGACAAACTGGGCATAGCTGCGAAGAACTCATCAAAACCTGAGCCCTTCTTGACTTCTTGAGCTACTAGCCTACTTCTATAAAGTGGATTCTCTTCATCCTGCTTGTTGACATCTACCCATCGTGTTCCAATGGTGCGTACCCCTTTGGGCATCTTGTGTCTGGGAATCTTTTCCCAAACTGGAAAACTTTCGATGATTTCGACCTCATCTTTTCTGGCTTGTTCTACACCTTTGCTGTCTAAAATCTTTCCACTGATATCATCGTAATAATACCATGTGGCTGCTTCATCTTCCAGTTCTGGTGGAAGAAGAATTGTCTCTTCACAAACTGGCTCTTCTTCACCTTCAATGGACTGAAGGTACTTCTCCCGATCTTCCATGATCAGGTTCATAAGACATTGGTCTATGTCATCCATGTCTTCTGGTCTCTCATTCTCAGGTGGCCGTTTGGTGCCCTTAGACGCCTGAGCTGAAGCAGCTCGGCTGTCCTTGGACTTTGACGTTTCGCCTCCTGAGTCGGCAGGTCTTTTCCGACCTTTGGTTGGAGACATTTCCAACCTTTTGTGTGCTCTTTCTTCTTGCTCGCCTCCTGCCCTCTTGGCTGAGGCTGTGCTTGCGCTTGCGCTTTCTGCAGGTGGATCTGCAGCTTGTCCGGTAGCAGGACTCTGCCTCGCGATGGCAGGTCCAGCTGTTGGCAAACTTGGAGCAGATTCCCCTGTGGCTGAGTACCACAGTTCAGTGACGATATCTGCGTCATCAATCAAAGGCGCGTTGATGACTTCATCTCCTAAACTAGGATCCATTGGTTCAGACTTGATAATGCTTCCTGTTTTGAAATCTCTGGTGACTCTCCACCAGACATTATCCCAACTGGGACCTTCTGGCATAGTACCCTTGAGATACCTTGCATTCTTGTCAAGGCGCGCAAACACCTTAAAACCGTGAGGAACTTCTTGTGGTTTCTCACTTGAATACCCATAAAGAATCTTTGTGCCTTCTTCGGACACTTCTTGTTTCTGACCAGTGATTTCAGAATCAACCTTGGCCATATGTTGGGCTACTCTCAGGTTGCCCTCTTCTGCTTGAAGCAGACGTTCCATCCTTTCTCTGCAGGCTGGAGTGTGATGAACTCCAGTGCCTCTTTTGCCAATTCTAGTGGCATCACAGGCGACACAACCAGCGGTGTAGCCATACTTGTCCAAATCACGTTTGGTGATGTAAAGTCGTCTTGTCGACTTCTTTGGTGGCTCAACTGGCACTGATGGCGCCAGTGGCTGCTGATCTCCCCCAACAATCTGAGGAAGCAAAACATCATCTCTTTTTGATGCTTGAGGATCCCAGGGAACCCCAGTGACTGACATCAAAGTTTCGGCATCATATCTGTCGTCAGCACTCTTGCGTCGAATGCTTTGCACAGTGAAAACACCTGATGCATTTCCCACTATCTTCTCAGTGGTATTGTCTTTGACTCCCAAGAAAACTCCTTGGTGCCATCTTTGTTCAAACTTGTGACCTCTTTTGAGGAATTCAATTGTTTCCCCAAATGGTGGTAATGACACTCTCCACTCACGACCACGGTGTCTAGAGTACGGTGTCTTCCCATCTTTGACTTCCAATGATCTGCGAAACAAATTGTAAGTGGTGCTAGCATGTTCAACCAACCATGTCAAAACTGGGTGGTCGTCTGGCACCTTTCTTCCATAGCTTGTCTCCAAGGCACTTCTGAGTGTCCTGGATTGAGATTCAATAGCTTGAACTGCTCTTTCAATTTCCCCTTTGGATTCTGAGACTCCTTTGGGAACCTTTTCCAAAACCAACTGTTTGTCAAAACCATTCTTGGCTGCCTCAACTACGGAGTTGAGTGCCGGCTCTGGGTCATATCTCATGACCATCTTGGGGTACCCAAACTTCTTAAGGTCATTCAAAAGACACTTAGATCCAATAGGACCTTGGGTAACTCCCTTGTACGGCAAAACGTGTGCGTAGGTCAACTTGGACCATCGATCATGTACTATCAAAACTGGTGCATGCTTTTTCTGCACTTCTTCGGTGATGACAGTGTCATCCACTGAATTCATGAAACAATAGTCAGCTGAGATCACAGGAACTGTTTCATCTGAATGATCTACTTTGACATGTCTCATTGCCTTTGCCTTACCTCGAATGCAATGTTCACACCAACTCCTAAAAGGATAATGGCTGACAAAATGCTCTTCTTTTTCTCTCTGCGTCGGCGCTGCTGCAGTTGGTAGCGCTTGAGAACCTAGCTTACTACTGCCCGGTTCATCATCTCCACTCCCTGCGCTCTCTGTGGTCTCCACAGGACTTACGCCTTCAACCCTTCTGTGGGCTGCCCATGAAAATCCATGGCTATCTTGAAAACACCTCCAGTCATGGTGACTGGAACCTTCTTGGCTCCCCTTTGCAGAAACGATCCATTGGGGCCGAAGGTTACTGTCCAGTCTTTCTCAACCAGCTTGGACACAGACAACAATGGCTTTGCAACATCCATTGCCCGGAACTGTCCCACACCTTTGACTTGTGGGCCTCCTTTCTCACCCATGGTCACCATAGGGTTGCACACCCCATGCACCTGGACTGGCTGCCCTGATGCGTTGGCGAACGGCTTCTCATCCACAGGTGTCATAGCCAACTCCAATGACTGTGCCAATTCCTTGGGTAGGCAACTGGTTGCTGCCCCTGAGTCAACGGTGGCCCAGACAATGGTATCCACCGGAGATGCCAAACTTCCCAGGAAGTCGAGGTTGGAGTCTGACCGAACTCCTCCTCCTGGTGAGTGCTCCCTGGGCTTGGGAGATGGCGTTTTCTCCCTCTTCTTCCTGGCTTTTCTTTCCATGTAGTTGGCTGCATCACGCACCGTCTTCTCCAGGAATCTCTTGGTGCCCATGCTGAACTTTCCCCTGCCCTTGGACGCCTGGGCTGAATCAGCCCGGCTGTCCTCAGGCGCTCTCGATGGGGATTTGGACTTCAGCTCGATGGGTGCTCTGGGTGCCTCTTCTTCTTCTTCCTTTTCTTCTTTCTCTTTCTCCTCGACCTTCTCTTTCTCCCCTGGCCTCTTGGGGATCTTCTTCACCTCGGGCTTCACTTCATCTTTGCCCTTGTGCCTGAAGCGCTCGTAGTGCTCCTCAAAGCTTTGCTTGCGCTTCTTCCTTTCTTCATCCTTGGCAATCTCTTGGCGCCTCTTCTCATCTTTGGCTTCTGCATCATCCATGGGGCGCTTCTGGGATGATTCTCCTTCTTCTCGTGCCTCTCTCTCTGCCTTTACCCGACGATGTTCTTTCTTCCAAAACTCCAGGGCATACTGAGGATAGCATTGCTTGTTCTCCACATGTTGCCAAAAGCTTGCAACGCTCATGGAGTTGAGTGCTTTTCCACATGACTGGCACTTCACATAGGGATACCCTTTGTTGGAGACAGTTTTGCACTTCTCATGCAACTCCTTGAATGGAATGGGTCTTCGAAAGGAATTCTGCCAATGCTCGACCACATCCTCCATGCCTGGTGCTGGCTCCTGGTTGTAGGGCAAATCGTCTGGATCTGTCTCATCAGAAGATCCTAGGTCAAGGACTTCACCATAGGCTTTCTCGTAGGCTTCCTTCAAGACGTTGTCCAACTTGCTGAGGACTTCAGGATCGGTTTTCAGCTTTTCAAGTCTGCTGACAAACTCATATCCTTCAGAGGAAATGCTCTCCTCAGAGGAAATCTCACACTTGTCATGGATCCATTGTGGGATCTCATCCTTGCTCATCTCTTTCATCTTCTCCTTATTGGCCTTCTTCCTTGCTTCATCTGCTCTACGTCTGTCAGACCTGTGATGTCCTCCTCTATGGCGCTTGGGTTCCAGCTTTCTTGCCTTGGGAGGTTCAGACTCTTCACGGCGCTCAGACTTTGGTGCCATAGTGTCTTCCAAGGTGAACAGCGCTGTGAGTTCAGGTTCAGGTTGATCACCAGTGGCAGCTGCTGCAGGTTGCTCTTGAGTCCACGCATCAGACTCAACATTGGCAACTTTGCGACCTTTACCTTGATCACCTTTACCTTTACCTTTGTCTTGACCTTTCTTACCTTTGCCGTTGCTCTTGGAGTCATTGGTATTCTGTTTAGACCAAGACTGCTGATTCCAAGATTGATTGTTCCAAGACTGATTGTTCCAAGACTTGTTGTATGAACTGTTTGACCAAGACGAAGACTGACTCTTTCCTTTGTCTTTACCTTTGGACTTACCTTTGCCTTTCCCTTTGTCATGTTTTCCTTTTCCCTTACCCTTAGCAAGGGAATCCACATCCATGGGAACGGCTCCTGACTTTGCTTCTTTCCTGGTCTCGACGTTCTCAAGGTAGGCCAAAACTTCAGCTTTCACCTGGTCATACGTGGTCAATCTCGAAGCCTGCAAGTCCAAATGATCTTGCAACTTGTTGGGACACATCTGCTGCAAGCAACTCCTGCAGATGTCATCTTCAAGTGGTTTCTTTCTCCTGTCTTCGTACTTTCTTTTCAAGTTCTCCCAGCTCTCAAGCCCTTCTCGAAGCTTATCAAGACTGCATTGACTTGGATGCAGAACCTTTTTCAACAAGGCTGAATTGGCTTGAGGATTTTGAGGATCATATTTGCACAACAGTCGTCTCATGGCTTCTAGGCCAAAGTGGCTACCACGAGATGTGTTCTTGACAATTTCCAGCGCTTCTCCCTCAGTCAATGATATGAGGGCTTGTCTAGCCTGAGCTGAAACTAGCTCGGCGCCTTCATCAAAGTCTACTTCTAGACTTGACTCAGTGATCTCTTTGTCACACTGAGATTCAACTTGTGCCACAATCTTCACAGCATTCTTGTGGCAACTTTCAACCCATGTCTTAAACTTGTACCACCAACTATCCCAAGTGCCTGATGCTCCATTGAACTTGTCAGGTTTTGGTATGCCTTTCAACTCTGATCTGTCTTTGTACTCAACAGACCTCTCAACATTTCTGTTGATCTGTAGCTGCTGGTTCATAGCCTCGGTCATTGCCTGATTCAACTGCGCCTGACCCTGAGTCAATTGGGCCATCATCTGCATAACCATCTGGGACATGTTGGGACCGTTGGTCTGTCCTTGTGCTGGTGGAGTGCCTGGTTGCTGAGGTGGCTGCTGTTGCTGAGCCATCCTTAGTCGCTCTTCAGGTGCTTAGAGACCTGGTTCAAGAGAACCCTTGGATACCTTTGGAGATGCACTCCAAGGTTATGGAAGTATCTTTGGATTTTCCTGATTTTCAGGAGCTTGAGTGTCAACCTTTTCCAGTTGGCACTGGGTAGGCGCGCCAGAGCTGATGCAGCTCGGCGTTGACACCTACACATTCACAGCTGGGTATCAGAACCTCAGCTCCGCTACCATGAACAGAGAATTTGGGCTCTTAAATCTGATGAACACTCCTGAGCACTGATCAGCACCTTTTCACTCAGTCAGCTCGAAGGTAGCTGAAAGCACTAAAATGGCTGCAGCACATATACAAACATATATGCTACATGTGACATAGTCTACACTGTACACATATCTGATCAGAAGAGGATCAATATAAATCATATATAAATCATATATAAATCATATATAAATCATATATAAATCATATACAAATCATATATAATTCATATATAAATCATATATAAATCATCAACCCTTCACCAAGCTGAATTCTTTAGGCGTTTGTTTTTTCCCATGGCCTAACAAGTTTTCCTTCGATTCGTACCCACCAAACCATGGTGCACACCGTCCGAAGGCACAGACCCATTTGCCGTTGATGTTCACGGAGCCTGATCCACTGAGGTCACCCATGGTGGAAAACAAAAAGGGATGGTGAAGAGGAGCACCCCAATGGCGAAAAAAACCTACGGAACTGCTGAGTCACATAGCTTTGAATTGGTTGGAAGATCATTTTGATATGTGTTCATACTGGAAATCAGAAAAAAGTGTGGTTCCAGGGTTCCAGGAATAAATTCCCAGGCTGTAATGTTTTGTTTATTTTCACCACCCAACTGCATGTTTTCCACCATAGAGCCATCCGCTAGGCATAGCTCATCTAAGCTATAAACCACCCAGCTGCCAGGTAGTTACTGGTGATCAAACATGGCTGGAAACGAAACACGTTCAATGGGAAAATACTCAATCCTTGATGATGTCCCAACTTTATAGATAATGTCAAATTGATACACATGTTGTTTCCATTGCCAGGTTTCATGATCAAAAGGTCGCCAAACTAAGGCTTGAACTTAGCACTGGGTTGTTTTTGTTTGGACCCTGTTGAGCGTCTCCAATCGTCGCGTTGGCACCTGTTCTTGTCAAACTATCCCAGAAAACACACACCATGAATCACCATGACATAAAGGCAAATACCATCAAATACTTGTATCCTTCTGACTTTCGCTTCATCATTTGATATCCCCAAAGTTTGAGATTCCACACATGCCACTTTGCGGCGAACTCCTATGATCTCGGCAAGAAACAGGTCTTGCACTTGCCCTTCTTGCATTTGTAGCCTGGAGCCAGCGTGAAGGCCGCTGGTCAACAGCTCCGAACATGGGGTTCCCCACCTCCAATTTTTGAGCGGGTCCATCATTGGTGCATGAATTGAGGGGTCAAAACTTAAGGTGTATGGGACCAGATTTTAGTATATGATGTATATGTTTAGTGACCATCTAATTGTTGGGTATTCAACTTTGCCCAATATCCAATGGCTTTTCCCCATGTTTGCCCAATATCAATGTCAAGTCATCCAAGGCACGGATAAAGACGTCTGCTTGTGAGGCGACTTCACTCAGGGGTTGCCCGGCGCGAGCCATGGTCATGACGTTCTGTGGCTGGAAAACAACCTGCTGGGTGCTTTTTTGTCAGGTGCTGGGTGATCATCGTGATCCAAGAAATGCCTGGAAAATAAGATGGACCAATATATGGAAACATGGAAAGGGTTGGTTTGATAACACTTTCCCGGCTTGGTTTTGGAAAACATAGTTGG